ATAATAATAATTGGATGATACTCTGAATCAGTAAACCCAGGATCCTCATTAGTACCAGAGGCTACAGGAGCAAAACTGGGACCTAATGAGCTCTGCCTCTCCCTTGGCAGCATGCCACTGCCGCATCGTCTCTGGGGCCAGCAGTTTACAGAAAACCCCCTGGTGGAAAGAGGTATGCGCTTCCAGCTCCCTCCCAATATGGAGATGACTCATCTCACAGGGTTGCACGGAGGGCCAGGCAGATGGTGTGCTCCACCCTGGCACTTCCAAGCACTGACTCAGCCTTCCGTAGAAGGTGCATATCACGAATGGGGAGGCGGCAGGGTAAGGAAGCCAAAGAAAGAAGTCAACCATCTGAAAAAAATCAATGAGGTAAGCAACCGGACTGCAACTCATTCCTCTCACCGGAGGAAGAGCTTAACAACAAGCCCACCTAACAAAGCAGTGCGAGTGGCTTCTGCATCCTGCCTGTCTAATGTGGGGTCCACATGCTCCTCACCTGTAAGACTGCAGAATATCAATGATGCCAATATACAGCAGGAGCCTCTCCCCTTTATTATTGCGGGCAGGGATGCCACCCATGCTGGAGAAGAAAAAAAAAAAGCAAGAATTAGGAAACCTGTTAGAAACTTCCCCTAACCTTGAGTCAAATCATGATGGAACTGAGATCTAAATACAATTGACCTAGCCGCCATGAACTATGAGAGTGTGAGGCTCCTGCCTTCAACCATGAGTCTCTCTAATCCCCTTGCCTAGCATTCCTACCCCAGTGCCACCGAAACGACTGAAATCACTGCTGCTCAGCTACATGGTGACTGCTCCCGCAGCGACCTCAGAACGTCCTCCAAAGTTCTGCATCTTACTGCCATCTTATTGCCTACTAATGACTCTTCCTGAGTCGTGCCAAGGGACACCTAAAAATGAAACCACCCAACAGACACTTAGGGCACTTTAGAAACTAAACTTACTCAACAATGGTAAGAAAGGTGCCTTCCACAAAGAAGTCTATAATGAACTGTGATAAAGTTAAAATTTACAGACACATGGCTGAGATTTCTTTTTGAGTGTAATATTTTAAGTCTTTTCATCCCAGATAGCTCTTCTTCCCAAATATGCTAACCCCCCAAATCAAAGCCATTTTTCTTTCCTTTTATAGTCCTAAGGAAGCTCACTTGATGGTTCTCTAAGAATTCACATTGCTAGCTTAACTGCTGCTCAAAGCTACTCCTTCTTTCCAGAAGTCAGGTGCTTTCCTCAAGAAGCACGATGCGTCTCCCCGAGTCCAGCCACTCACTGGTCATCGGTCTCCATGGTGCCGCCCCGGCGAGCCTCGCCCTGGATGGACTCCATGGCCGTGGAGTACAGAGCCTTCTGGGAGGTCGGTCTCCGCGTGTCAACTGTGCACTGTGTTTCACTGTTCAAGGGCTCTCGCTGTGCATGATCTATGTTGTGGATTGACATCAAGAGACTGTAATCCATTATCTTGAAGCTCTGAAGCACCTAATAGAAAGAAAAGATAGGATCTGAGCACTGAGCATTATCAGGACTTTTTCCAGGATCTCATGATTTAATGATTCTAGGAGAACTTCCAAGGCTACCACAGGATGCTTTGATCTTCTACTCCTTGAAAAAGAGTTTATTAGCTCCCTCCCCTCAGTCGATTTATTTCTATTATCTACACCCACTTGCCTTCCTCTCATTTGCATAATACAAGTCCCACTGCCTAGTCCACAGACCCTCTCTGTTTTTCCTTGTATCTCCTCACAATAAGCAATTTTTATGTGATGCTCCATACATGAACAAGGAACACATAGTGATACTACAAAGAATCCACAATGCGGGTGTGATAAAAGTATGTCCTGTGACAGAACAGATCTGCGATAGAACCTTTTCTGGTCAGTTTCAGTTCATTTCAACATTAACTAAACCCCTACCATAAATAGGCACTGTGCCTGCTTACAGGGACATAAAGGTATCTCCAAGAGTTTGTGCTTCAGGAGTGCACCTCAGACAGCTAGTCTGTGCCTAGTTTGTTCGAGGCACTGGGTTTGCACTGCAGTACCAAGGATGTGAGTTAGAACAGGTGGGAGGAAGAAGCAGCAGGAGGGAGGGAGGGAGGGAAGAAGACCGGAAGGAAGGGCCAGGCATGGGGGCACAGTATTCGGGAGGCTGAGGCAGAAAGCTTGCCACAAATTTAAGGCCAGCTTAGTCTACATCATGAATTACAGAGTAATTACAGTCTGAATTACAGAGTAAGACCTTTTCTGAATAAACCAAAAAAAAAAAGGACCAGGGAATGTAGCTCAGTGGCATAGCGCTTGCCTAGCAAGCTCAAAATCCAGTGTTTGATCCTCAGCACCAAAAAATAAAGGAAGGAAAGAAAGGACATTCCTACCCGTAAAGATACTGTAAAATTAGGAAGGTATTCAAATGTAAAATAAATACAATACCTTCTAATATGCAAAACTGGAAGTGTTTACACAATGAAAGAATAAAGACAAAATCAAGAAGTTACATCTAATTAGGCCTTCGAAGGATAAACTGGAGCTAAAATAAGTGAAGCAGCATGTTATAATCAGAAAAGTATAACTGGTATTGCTAGAAGATACAACGCAGGGGACAGGAGGGGCAGTGCAAGAAGGCTGGCAGGGGCAAGCCAACAATGGGCGTGATGTAGTATCACATCTAAGAGCCTGGGCTACATCGTGTTGTTTCCAAAACCTTCTGCGCCACACCTGGTTGGAAAGGGTACACTCCCTTAAGCTCCAGTACTGCACTTTAGCAGTGCAGCTCAATCAAGGGTGTCTGGATAGGTGGATGAAATAAGAAATGAAAAGAAAGAACCAGATGTGGTGGTGCACACCTATCATCCCAGCCCTCAGAAGGCTGAGGCTGCAGGATTGCTGCGAGTTTGAGGACAGCCTCGGCTACACAGTGAGTTTAAGGCCATTCTGAACTACACAGTAAAACCCTGTCTGAAAAAACCAAAACCAAATCTAGAGGGGAGGGAAAGGGAGAAGAGGGGAGGGGAAATTCCTTTATATGATTTGGAAAAGCCTGGTCCCATTGGTTGAGTAAGTCTCTAACTCTTCATCTAAAGGAGACAAACTCCAATAGCATCATCCTGGAAGCAGATGCAGAGTGCAGGGCAAGGATGGATAACACGATGGCCTGAGTAGAGAAAAATGACCTTGCAAAAGCAGGTTGAGAAAAAAACCACCAGATGTAGAAAGATTAAGAGAGGAAGGTATGACAAAAACCAAAAGATGATTATCTTAAGAAAAAGGAAAAGAGTTTACTGTCAAATGAAAAGTTGAGGAAGAATGAAGAAGTATTCTCTATTTAGCATCTAGGCGGGGAGAGCAGTTCTACACAGTGGTGAGAACAAACAAAAGCCAGGACACAATGTGTTGAGGCAAATATAAGGAGATAAAAAAATAAAAAAATGGAAGAAGCATTGGGGGAAAAATCCTCCTAAACTTAATAAATGAGATCAGCTTGCTGGTACGCTGACAAACTAGAGGAGGAGGAAAGGTCTCTAAAACACAAACAGGTCTGGCTTGAAATAAGCCACAAGTTGGGGAAAGGACATCAAGAATTCTAAGTGCAGCCACCTTTAGCAACTGGTAACAGAGGCAGCATAAAGGGACAGAGCAGGACGGAAAGTGAAGGCAGGTTTTTTATTTTTGCTTTCCCCAGAAACAAAGCTGGGGCAAGGAGGATTAGAAAGTGGTTTGAACAGAGTACTGAACATCTGAAATCCTCGCTGAGAACAATGAGCAACACTCTGGGTCCAGATGGAAGTGAAGCAGTAGGCTCCACAGCTGCGATTTTCTTTAGCATCACTCACCTGCCAACTTACTATCCGAATTTGGCCAGAAGACCAAATACGAGGACTGATGGTGCTGGTTTAAAAGCAAGTGATGTGTGACTACACAGCCCAGGCTAAAGAGAAAGGGAAGGGAAGCCCGGCGGGGAGGACAGCGGCATGGCAACGAGCTCACTGGGGTCACTTTCTACGCAGTCTAGGGCACGCAATTAAGGAACACAGTCCCATCTTCCATAGAATAAATTCCTAAGAACAACAAGCTGTCTTTATGACTGAGATTTCTGGTGTCAGAGAGGAGGCAATGCAACAGACTTACCAGACAGTCACGCTGCAGGGTCTTACACAGAGCATTGTACATGTCAGCATCCAAGAAGAGACCGTCGGGCATGTCTTGTAGGAAGTCCAGGTCCTTAAAGGTGGGAAGCAGCTTCTCACGCTCTTTCTGAGAAGCTCGCCGTTTGTAGGTGGAGCCCTTGAGGTCATACTTGATATGCATCTTGACCGACCGAGGTAAGAGATTGTTCATCACCACAATCCGAATGTTCTTGCCCCCTGCCTGCACACAGTACAGTCCGTAGAATTTAGGTAGCAACGTGCGAGGGTTCTGGTTGAGGTTCTGAGGACACAGAAGTAAATACAACTGAGGAAGTTACTTCATTTTCAGTGAAACGCAAGAGAAAAGCTGACATCCATACTGCCTCTGTCTCTGACACAGGATGCAGGCAGCCTGTCCCCCCAGACACCCACATACTCGCTCAACATTTCCCAGCACGTGTGTCTCGATGATGAGACCACCGCGAAGCTGACCACAGACCCTCCAGTGTGCAGCCACTGAGGACATGTAACACGGGACAGACACGTTCAGAGGAGTTTAAAAGAAGGCAGGTGTTTTTCCCCAAGACTTTTTAGAATTTCATTTATTTTTTAAAATGCATTTATTAGTATGTTTGCAACACATAATTCCATTTGTCCTGTGGAATTGGTACATACAGATGTTGCATCTTGATCATTTTACTTTCCGTCCCCTCTCCTCCCCTCTCCCTCTTTCCCTAGGTTCCCTTCTCACCTCCACAGTCTATCTCTGCTTCCTAATCATCTCTCTTTTATTTTGTTCTTTATTTATATTTGGGAGCTCTCCTACTAGAGAAACCATGTGATATATAACCTTCTGTGAATGATTTATTTCACTTAGCATTATGGTCTCAAGATTTCATCCTTTTCTCAAAAATTGATTCAAATTTAACTTTTTACAGCCTAGTAGTATTCCACTGTGTGTGTGTGTGTGTGTGTGTGTGTGTGTGTGTGTGTGTGTGTATAAAATCATATTTTCTTCATTCATAGGTCGATGGGCATTTAGCTGTTGTGACTTGTGCTGCTATAAACTTGTACAGCATGTATTACTGTAATATGATGACTTTTGAAATGACATCTAAGAGATATGTGGGTCAAATGAAATTTCTATTTTTAGTTTTTTTAAAAAATCTTCATACTGTTTTCCATAATAGTTATACCAGTATACATTCCCAAAACAATGTGGAAAGGTTCCTTTTTCCCCACAACCTCACCAGCATTTGTTGTTTTTTTAAGTCCTCAATGATAGCCATTCTCACTGAAGTCATGGAATCTTAGCATTGCTTTAATGTGCATTTTTCTAACAATCAAAGATACTCAACATTCTTTTCCATGTACTACTTAGTGGCCACTTTTCTTTGAAAAGTGTCTATCATTTCAACTGGGTCTTCTATTTCTAACTTTTTAGGGTTCTTTATACATTCCTCTAAGAAACGGCTGGCAAAAATTCTTTCTCATTTTGTAGGTTGTTTTTTCATTCTCTTGAATGTTTCCTTTGCTATGCAAGTGCTTTTCAATTTGATATAAACCCATTTGTTGATTCCTGGTATAGGGCAATGGATTTAGCTCAGTGGCACCACACCTACTTGGCAAGTGCAAGTTCCTGAATTTGATCCCCAGTACAAAAAAAAAAAAAGAATGATAAAGGAAGATTATAAGAAATTAGTTTGAAAATGTATATTCCCATAAATTGGACAATCTAGAAGAAATGGATAAATTCCTAGACATATGAATTTCCAAAACTGAACCACAAAGATTAAAACCTTGAAGAAAAAGACAGGGAAAAAAAAACCTGATGAGACCAGGAACAAACAGGCAATAATAAAAACCCTACCAACTAAGAAAAGCCTGATGGAGTCACCACTGAATTTTACCAAAACATCAGGGAAGAACTAACACCAATATCCCTCTTCCATGAAACAGAAAGGAGAGGAGCACTGCCAAACTCATTCCTGGAAGCTGGCATTACTCTAATACCAAAACAGAACAAGGACTAACAACAACAAAACTACAAGTCAATTTCCTTAATCAACTTAGATGCAAAAACCCTCAAAACAAGATCTTGTAAAGAGAATGTAACAAACCATCACAACAGACAGACCTCATAACTAGGTCAGCTTCATTGCAGGGATGAAGAGTAATTCAACAAATGTTAAGACACCACATAACACAAGTAAAGACAATAATCACAGATCATCTGAATAGATGCAGAAAAAGCCTTTGACAAAATTCAACTTTCATTCATGAATAAAAAAACAAACCACCCTGATGCAAATACATATAGATGTATTTTACCTGAAACTGAAAAAAGCCATTTATGAAGAGAATCTTCCTAAAGTCTCAGCTCTCCGTCCTGCCTATCGTACAAAGTAGTGATCAAAATATACAATGAATGGGGCCAGGGATTTAGCTCAGTGGTGCTGCACGAGCACAAGGTCCTGAGTTTGATCCCCAGTACCAGAACAAAACAAAACAAAAAAACAATGAATGCATACATTACAGTAATAAGGGGTTGGGTGTCGTACCTGCCTGGCAAGCACCAGGTCCTGAGTTCAATCCCCAGTACTGGGGGAAAAATTATATATGTAAAAGAATTTCCATTAGTCTCTCTTAAAATGTTCTCCCTTGCTTCCAACACACTTATCCCATAGCTCTTGCAACTTTCTGAAGCAGTTCTAAAGTCCTCATTTGGACTTTGAAAAGGTGTGCTCAAAAATACAGTGAATGCTGCCACTGAGTACCAGCCAATGGAAAGAGATCTGTAAAAAACACTGCAGTGTGTCCTCATCCACCTTATTCAAAAGGTCTGGCACTGCAACTTCTGGCTCTTTCCCAAAGTCAAAATGACCATGAAAGGTAAACATGTGCAATCAATTCAGACCATTAAGGAAGACACAACAGCCAAACTAAAGACATACAAAACCGGACTTCCAGCATTGCTTCAGAAAGTAGTAACAATGGGATATTTTTCTAAATACAGAAATTTCATCCACCCCAGTTATTTTCCCTTCTAGATATCTTCCTGAGTTAAAAACATCATATTATAGCAATACACACATTCCCACGTTTACATAACACAGATTCATTCTCAGAAGCAGCCTATGTGTCCATCAACAGATAAATGAATAAAGAAAACAAATACACAATGGAGTACCACTCTGCCATAGAGAAGGATAAACTTGAATCAAGTTTAGGAAAATGGATGCAACTTGAGACTGTAATGAAATAAACATGCAAGCTTAAGTATTAGGTAGTTTCTTTTATATGAGAAATCCAAAGAAAAAATAAAGAGCAAAATAGAAGACGGATAAATAGGAAACTGGGAGACAGCTTTTTTGGAAAAGGGAAGGGAACCAAGAGATAGAGGGAAAGGGGAAAGCAAAGAGAAGTGGACAAAAAAAAAAAAATTAAATTTTTAAAAATGAAACTGTGTTATGTACATGTACTACCTATGAGGAATGTAATCATTTTGTACTATAAATATGTACTAAGATTTTAAAATGAGATTAAAATAATAATGAGTTATTTTAGCAACAAGGGGGAGAATTTATGTTCCAGAATTTATGTTCACTCAGGAGACTGAGGCAGGAGAATCACTGTGAGTTCCAGTCCAGCCTGGGATAGACAGGCAGAACCTGTCTCAAAAAGCAAACAAGGGCCAGGGATTTAGCCCAGTGGTGCCACTGCCTGCCTCAAAAGGGCAAGGACCTGAGTTAGATCCCCGGCACCAAAAAAAAACCAAACAAACAAAATACCCAAAACAACAAAATAAATAAATAAATAATAAGGGGTGATTATAGCTCAAAGCAAAAGCCTCAGGTTCAATTCCTAAAAAGAGAGAAAAACACACCCTCTTTAAGCACAGAAACATGAATGGGGCAAAAAGCAAGCATGCACACACGCGCGCAAATACTGTTCTGCCCTGCTGAAGACAGCGTCCTCCAGCCCTGTCCAGAGCAGGCAGCCCCATGGCTGGTGTCCTGTCCCCTTACCATGTAGTAGCCGGGGAGCAGCTTCTGCAGAAACTCTGCTTCTTTATGCTGCACCGTCTTGATGATAAACTCGTCATCGCTGGACACATAGAAGAGGGAACCACTAGCCCCAGAGTTGCAGAGTTCAATCAGTGGCTCACTGCAGAGGGAGTACTGAGGCCAAGAAGAGACCGTGAGAGATTCAGATATACCAGAGCCTGCCCAGTACAAAAATCAACTACAGATGCACTTCTAAAGAAAAACTGCAGCAAGACTATGAAGAGAGCCTTTCTCTAGGAATGCCCTCTGACACTGCAGTGACAGGGTTCTCAGACTGGCAGCTTACCAAGTAATCATCGGGCCGGATGCCAAACAGTTCCCGAAAGTAGCGGAAGGCGACGGGGGCATAGGTCTTGAACCGGAAGTCATTGTAGTGATGAGCAGGCGTCAGGTTGCTCCCCTCACTGTGGGGTTAAACAGAAGATCCTTAACTTCCCAGGCTCTCACAGGGGGAATCCACCCTGGAAAGGCAGAAGGAAGCCAGCACTTCCTCCTGAGAGGACAGTGGAGACAGACAAGTCCATCACTCACTGGAACAAAGACACAGGAGACTGCTTTCTAGCCAGTGCATTAAATAATTTTTTTGATGGGATACTTCACAGGCAGGAGGCTCACGGCAGCATCTGGAGGACGGTATCTGCTCTCCACACTCCCCTGTCTGCATCAACCCAGTTATGAACAGACTGCACACATCCTTAATTTGGTCAGACCACAAACCCTTAAGATGCTCTGAGGTTGATTTCAAAAACCCATCTTTGGCCGGGGATTTAGCTCAGTGGTTCCGCCACCTGCCTCGCAAGCACAGGCCCGAGTTTGATTCTCAGTACAAAAAAAAAA